CTTGCGAGGGCTGACCATCTGAGGACTGGCAGGAGGAGGAGACTTGGCTGGGACTACTTTGACCAGGTTGCTGTTGTTGCCGTTGGAGACGGACAGCAAGCCTGGTGAGGCCCGGGCGCTTAAGTAGCCGTTAGCTGGAGAAGCACACGGAGACTGGGTTCATTTCAAATAATAAGAATCATCAATAAATGAATATAACACTTCAAAATGAATGCGTACATCACACAAAATTACATGACAAATAAAAATGAATAAAGCCAATAGAGGGAAATGCGGTGGCTCGGTTGTCATGGTTACAAACAGAATGGAAAGAATTTAAATGTGGTCTGAAGAAGAAAACTTTGGGAGAAGAGTCAAAGAGGGGTGGGGCGGGGGTCAATATCTGATCGTCACGACAATTGGACACACACACGCACACACACACAGACCCATGCACATGCACAGGTCTGCGTAAGATAGCCAATAGAGGTTCTCCATGTCACTGCTTTCTGATAACAGTGGTGACATGTGACTCTGCTCAGTGTCAATCACACACACACACACACACACACACACACACACACACACACACACACACACACACACACACACACACACGCACACACACACACAAAGTCTCCATTGCACCTGTGTATTATTAGTGTCTGTGTGTTTGTGTTTCCGTGTGCGTGTGGAGTCCATGCGGTGGCGATGTGGCGACTCTGGACTGGGGAATGTCGAGAATGCCGTCTGACGTCAATGTGGATGTTCCCGAAGAGTCGAACGCACAACAGCTGAGAGTCAAATACATACGAGCACATACACACAGACACACACGGGAAAGAAAGGGGATACTGAAGGGGGAGCAATGGTGAAGTGGGGCGGGGAGGGGGTTCCAGGAGAAGCATTAGCTGACCACAAGAAGCTTCCGGATGTACAGTCACCTGAGCTGCGATTTGAGTGGACGGTGTTTTGGTTTTCAACACAGGATGGAGAATCTACATCATGCCCATCTAATCCTTGCCCATCTAAAAAGACCAGCACTAAAACACGGCAACAAGCGAAGTAGCTGAGTACCATCTCCCGTGCAGACCTCCATAGCCATTCCATAGTTTCGGCTCAAGTGTACAGTGATCACTTACTGAGCGCCAAGTTTCGTTACCTTCGAAATAGTCGTGATGAGAGATAATTTTATCTTGATCACAATAAATAAAAAGAATATGTCATGTTAACACTAACCTGCAAGCCGGTTTGGATTCATGCGCAAGCTAAGCTAGCTAGTGGATGAGTCTAAGCTTAGCCCAAAGCTAAGGTCTTGAGGCAAACGTTGATCGTTGCTTTTCATAGAAACAAATAATAGCAAATTGTTTGCTGCTGAAGTGGGATGGAATACATCCCTGGCTGAATAAGCAACATGAGGTCCCGTTCATTCGGCTGTCTTTCATTGGTGCTTTTACAGTCACAGGACCGAGAGGTGGGTTTCCTGCACAACAAGCCCAACGCACCAGTCAAGTTGACAACACCCGCTTCATCATTACGTTCCATAATGCGCGGATAAACTTTATTCATTGTAGAAAAAACAAAACAAAAAAAAGAGTTCACCGTATTGTGTGTTACTGTGTGTGCAATGCAGCCCGCCATTACCGGTCGCTGTACAACATTAACTCACCCGTGCAACAACTTAAACAGCTTCTTCGGCTAATACTTTGATTTATACCCTGTTGCCATCCGCTTTCAAAATAGTTGTCATCCTCCAGTGATTTGTAAGCTTTCATCTGGTGTGTGTCACAGAGCACGAGTGTAACCTCCCAAGATGGCCGCCAGAGGGAAAAAAAAAAGCCCTCTCGAAATGTCTTGCTCCGAGATGCGTACAAGCGAACCTGTTGCAGAATTCTGACCCGAATCCATGTTTATGTACAAGTCCTTCTAACAATAATAAAATTATCTTCACCAGTCGATGAATTCAGACGAACAATGGAGCGTACATGAAGGCTCTCATTCCAAATGCAGCCTCGTTTGTGTGATCAAGTGCAAACCGGTGAATGTAAACGCATCCATGGCACTGAATTTCCATTCGGCCATCAGAGACGGAACCTTGAAGCCTCTCACGCCTTACTCAATTTGACTACGCTTTCGGCTTGTTTCTAGCCATTTTTTTGGCAAGAGATTTATCTTTTTTTGTGCTATTTTTACAACTAAAGTTTTGAATCACTTCAAGTCATTCGTAGACCGTATTCATTCATTCTTAAAATGTAAGCCCCGCTGGAGCACAGTAACACATTCAAAACCTTCTTTTTTTTTTCTCGGAAACTAACAATTTTTTAACCTAATTTTGTTTCTAAAAATCCCCAGTCACCTTTGGGAAGTCTCTTTACATTTGCAATGACACTGATAAAATGGTTTTAAAAAAAAGAAAAAAAAAAGCAAGCAAGCTGGACCCACTTGGCCAGCATGGAGCCCAGAGGGTATGGAAAAAAAAAAAAAGAGAGAGAAAGCAAACAAGAAGATATCTGTTAGTGCTGGCACTCTTATGTGCCGCTAATGGGCTTTAAGGGGGAAGCTCTGGCCAGCGTCAAAGTCACCTCTGAGGAGTGGTCGGTGCCAAGATCGGTGACACTTGGGCGGGGCCACTGCGGATAGGGGAGATGAGGGGCAACAGCTGAGAGGGGCCCCAAGGGCAACGGGGGGTGGGGGTGGGGGGGTCAAGAACACAAGACGGGTGTTGCCGACTTTATTGGCCGCAGTTGTCGTTGGGGAACGTTTGCTCTCAGCTGCTTTGCACAATTAAGTCTTGACGGACGTGTCTGTACAGCGGTGCCTTGAGATCGGAGTTGAATTTGTTCCGTGGCCTTGCTCGCAACTCCAGATACTTGCATTTTCAAATCATCATTCTACTTTGAAATTAATAAAATCGCCATTAATCCATTGCAGCCACAAAAAAAAAAAAAAAACATCAAAAATGTTCAACTTGTTACATCACACGCGCGTGCCAAAGGTTGCATAAGCTTTCTATTCACCTCGCTGACCAGCTCCAGCTCTTCTTCTGTCTGTGCGGCGGGAGGAAACACACAAGGTGACCGGTCACGTCAATCACGTTGCACATGATTGGTAGCTCTTATTGAAAACAAAAAGTGTGTGGTTGTGACTGTGAGTTTTTATTTGTCAGCACTTAGGAAGTTTAATTTCAGCTGCAGCAGCAGTGAGGAGCGGCATGAGTCTAACTACCTTTTTCACAAATGGAAGACTTTTAGCACACACAGAGACCTATTTTCAAGTCATGATGATATTTTTACCCGACAATAAACACAATTAGATGCTTTAAAAATACTTCATGTGGAAATCTGACCTTCTGCAACCGGCAGTGAGGAGCGGCATGGGTCTAACTACCTTTTTCACAAATGGAAGACTTTTAGCACACAGAGACCTCTTTTCAAGTCATGATGATATTTTTACCCGACAATAAACACAATTAGATGCTTTAAAAATACTTCATGTGGAAATCTGACCTTCTTCATTCCATAAATGATGACTTAATTATTTTAGAAAATTCTCTATATCTCTTGATCACAGCGAAGTCAGTATTCAGTGCAGATAATTCGTATTGATACTTCACGCTCTTTTCTTATGTCTCACCAGTTGCATGAGGCTCTTGCCCCCTTGCGAGGTGATGACCCGGAGGTCCGACTTGCGAGCGCTGACCATCTGAGGACTGGCAGGAGGAGGAGACTTGGCTGGGACTACTTTGACCAGGTTGCTGTTGTTGCCGTTGGAGACGGACAGCAAGCCTGGTGAGGCCCGGGCGCTTAAGTAGCCGTTAGCTGGAGAAGCACACGGAGACTGGGTTCATTTCAAATAATAAGAATCATCAATAAATGAAAATAACACTTCAAAATGAATGCGTACATCACACAAAATTACATGACAAATAAAAATGAATAATAAGCCAATAGGGAAACGCGGTGGCTCGGTTGTCATGGTTACAAACAGAATGGAAAGAATTTAAATGTGGTCTGAAGAAGAAAACTTTGGGAGAAGAGTCAAAGAGGGGTGGGGCGGGGGTCAATATCTGATCGTCACGACAATTGGACACACACACGCACACACACACAGACCCATGCACATGCACAGGTCTGCGTAAGATAGCCAATAGAGGTTCTCCATGTCACTGCTTTCTGATAACAGTGGTGACATGTGACTCTGCTCAGTGTCAATCACACACACACACACACACACACACACACACACACACACACACACACACACACACACACACACACACACACACACACACACACACACACACACA